AGAGAGAGAGAGAGAGAAAGAAAGAGATAGAAGCAATAATATAGGGATCTAACGGGTGAGTGTTAATTGACATGAAATTTTGTCGAATTTTTCATGGACACTGAGCCTATTGAGGAAGAATCGAATAGCAATTACATCACAGGAACCGACCTTTTTGTTTCCGTGGTAAAACTGATGATGCGAAGTTCAGTCTAAAAATAGCGAGCAAAAGATGTGGAATAACCACTTAAAAATGGGAAAGCGATAACCATTCCGTCTGCTGTTTCAGAAAATTGAAAACAATGCCTATATTATTGGGGGGTTTTCACCTCATAATTTCATGCACTCTTTTTGGCCTTAACTCTTTTTGTTGTTGTCTTTGTATCCCCTATGGGAAAGCAGGTTAGAGTGAATTGTAGGTTTTTTGGGGTTTTTTTTTCTTTTGCTAGCCAAAAAAAAGGGAAATTTCCAAAACAAGCTAGCAGGAAAGCTCTCTCTGGGAGGACACGCTCTTTTCAAAATGTTTCCAGAAAAGGTTTATGTTCACGCAAATTGTGTTTTATATAATGTGACATGCAGCAATTCCCAGACCCGTTATTAGGCATTGATTCATCTCTCTTAATTTCTCTCTCTCGTCCTCTCTTTGTCTCTCTCTCTCTCTCTCTCTCTCTCTCTCTCTCTCTCTCTCTCTCTCTCTCCCTCTCTTTCCCTTTCTCTCCCTCTCTTTCTCTTTCTCTCCTCCCCCTGTCTCTCTCAGTCTCTACCCCCCCACCCTTTCCCCCTCTTTTTTTCTTTCTCTCTCACTAACCCTGTTTCTGTCTCTGTTTCTGTCTCTCTCTCTCTCTCTCTCTCTCTGCCTCTTTCTTACTCAATCTCTCTCCCTCTCTATGTCTGTCTGCCTGTCTGCTTGTCTGTCAGTCTCTCTCTCTCTCTCTCTCTCTCTCTCTCTCTCTCTCTCTCTCTCTGTCTCTTACTCTCTCAAGCGAAGAGGAAGCAAGGCACTTAATGGCCTAAATCTAAATAGGAACATATTGGAAAACATTGTCGAAATCGAAGGACTCTTCTTTGATTCTCATTATCCGCTCTCAAGAAAGTGTGATATATTGCCGGTTAAAACAGAACAACTTTCAACTTCCAGATCGTTTAGTAACGCCAATGTGAACACTACATTACAGAAACAGAATTCATTATCACCTTAACTACCCACCGTTCCGTTTTCTCGTTCCGTTCGAGGACAGAATGTGTTTTGTTTAGTTCCGGAAACTCCCGTTGTTGGTGATAAAACGTTCCGGTAATCGAGGTACAATTATTATTTGACTCATTATGACTGGCACAAACACCAATGACGTCATTAAGTAAGTGGTTCCGCTTGCAATCGCCAGCAAGGTATTCCAGAGAATGTAAATTTTCTTTACCTTCGTTTTGCATTTCTATGCATATAATATGCAGGAGTGGCTGAAGATAATTGCTATCACCTAAAAATGAATTGCTGCCACATTTCTATTTCGAAAAAAGATCTCATAGGCTGCTTGATCATAACAGTTCTTTGGTAGATTTCCGCGTTTCTGCCAACTACACAGTATCGATATAACCTTTCAATGATATGGCTTTTACTTCTATTAAAAAATATACCTTAGTCTTAAAACCAGTTGTATTTTATTCAGCTTCTTGTCAATGTGACACTAATCTCCTCCTGCTTGATCATTTGAATGTTAATTTCTTGTGCTGCCTCATTATGCCTCCACCTTCCTTTTCCTCCTCACCCATCCTCCTTAGCCTCCCTCCCTCCTCCTCCTCCTCCTCCTCCTCCTCCTCCTCCTCCTCCTCATTTATCTCCTACCCCCCCTCCTTCCTTCTTTTCCTCCTCATCAATATCTAATTTTGTTCAATGTCCAGCCATACTTCCCTAGATCTACTTGTGATTGCTATTTGTCATTACTTCATGTTTTATCTGAGGCGAACCACACACCGCACTAAGATTTGAATTTTAAATTTTGTCCCTCATTTCCTTTTTGCAGTGAGTGGGTGAAGACTTCAAGCAAGAGTCAAACATGGATTAACAAGAAACAACAGAACGACGTGACATTACTCAGAAAATTCGTTGTCGGCACTGAATATGTATCGCATTTGCTCATTGGGATTCTTATTCGTCCAGATACGCAGTGTGACAAATCAACAGTGACATTTCTGTAATGTTTGGAATAGTTGATTTGTGAGGGAAGTCTTGCGGCACTTTTATTTCAGACGATCTGTAATTATGATATATTATTAACAATAGCAAGAAAACACATGCGAGGATTAATTGGTGTTTCTTAGGCTCAGAAATTTTCAAAGGGATATTTATTCGTTGTGCTACGATAAATGAGTGATACATTTATTAAAGAGGTAAATTCGTTAATGAAAGTTTTGTAATGCTTTTCTAGAAATTGGGCAAGTGATATGCTCTTTATCTTAGAAAAAAAGATCACGATTCTTTCTCATAAAAGTGTTATTCAAAAGGATGTAGTTTTCATGTAAGAAACCTGGATATCGAGCTTTTCAACGGCGTTCTTTGACATGGGAATTGTAGATTCGATTTTGAAGTCAAGGGCGCGAAACAATAAACAAGGTGAGAGCTCAGATTTTAAACTGCCCACGTGACTCCTGCGCGTGCGCCGACGATGTCATGTGATCAGAGAGTTCCCGCGAATTTCTGGTGTGAACCTCAGACATGCACCGGGCCACTGATGACGTCCCCACCATAGCGAGGCTCAGCGGAACACGTCAGTGTTGTGTTCTCTATGTCATCTTCACCATGGCTGCCGTTTGTGTCGTTGTTGCTTCGACTGACGTCACAACAAATCCGCAAAACGGTGGCGCAACCGGAAATGCCTTCGTGTACGACGACTACAGAAGTAATTCTACGCTACAGTTAGATATCGTCTTTATCTGCGATGGAACTGCCCGTGAGTATTGCTCTGCTGACGTGATGATGTCAGAAATAAACAAACATTTTCCGCCCCCTGATGATTTATTCTTCAGCGATGAAGACAGTTCTTTCAATATAAGTGACTGTGACGTAAACCCACAATCAAAATGTCACAATTTCTTTTCCAACACCAAAAACACAACGTCCCCGCCAAACGGAGTGCGTTATTCTTTGGTCAACAACTCAATAGTCGCCACGAAATTGTTGGAGTCTGATTCTTCGTCATCATTTTTTCTGAAATTGAACGTGACGTTTCACGTGTTGACTGGGGATTACCCGGATCTGTTGGTTGAAATTAACACTTTGGCCGTGACAGCTTCTGCTGACGTCATCATTGCTGTGGGCGGGGCGGTCACTTTGCAGTCTTCAGCGTTTGTCGGAGATGCGTTGGACATTCCTACTATTGGATATATTACCAACTTTAAAGATGGCATAAAGGTAAGGGATTATGTACAACGCTTATTTATACACCCAGTCACTCACTCACTCACTCACTCACTCACTTACTCACTCACTCACTCACTCACTCACTCACTCACTCACTCACTCACTCACTCACTCACCCACACGCTCACTCACTCGCTCACCCACTCCCTGCTTGCCTCCCTCCCTCTCTCAGTCACTTCAAAGAAACATTTTATTGAACCTGGACACATTTTCTCTTCATTTCAGTTTCCAAGTATCATGTCTCTTTTTCTTGTGGAAGTCTGTCTAGTCGAAGTAGACACAAACATGAATTTTTGAAGGCGCAGCGCTAAGAATAAAGCAGGAAAAAATACATGAAAGAGGCAAAAGAAGGCACATCAAAGAAAATGTCAAGCACATGTCGTATCTGAGAGATATTTATGTTGGGCATTTCACCACCAAATGCTAAGTGGCTGCACCAAAGATCTATTATCTCCCCTTCTTAACGAAAACACAAAAACCCTAACAAACAAACAACCCCCCCCCAAAAAAAACCCACACCAAACAAGCAAAAAAACAAAACAACCAACAACAACAACAAAAACCCTACAGCAACAAACAAACAAACAAAAAGAAAAACCACAGTACGAAGAGGTTGGGTTGGCTGAAACAAGGCGAGGAGGTGGTCGTGGATGGGTTAGTGTATAGTCTCCCTAAATCTTTTCGGCAATCACAATGATTTTTTTTCTTTTTCCGTGGCATAAGAGAGAACTGTTATTATTGGTTTTAGTTAGGAAATGAAAGTATAAGCTTATGCATTATTATATTTTTACCACAAATCTAGCCTCGCCAAAAGATCTTACTCGGAGAATAAAAAAGCATCGTGGATCCTCTATTATCTCCGAGTAAGATCTTTTCATGAGGCTACATTTGTGGTAAAAATATGATAATGCATATTAAGTTTGTATTTTGATTTCCTAACTGAAGCCAATAATAACAGTTCTCTGTTAAATACTCTCTTCGCCGAATTAGATATTGAACTTTGGTAAAGTATTTAATGGATATTATTTGTTTATCCTTAATACTGATTTTTTTCATAAGTATAGTTTGGTTTTATTTTCTCTTTCTTAAAGCTGACTGTCAGTTGGCAAATGAATTATACCAGTCTAAATGTCATCGTACCCATTACCCGTTTATTTGTTATACTAACTTGATGTTTGATGTTTGCAAGGTCTTTGTCGTTTCAAATTGTGCTGTCTTTTATTCCGTCATCAGCTCACCTTTCCTTTCAAGTCTGGGCGTGGATATCACTTTCTCTGAACCAGTTTTTCACGAACCCCCTCCCCCCCTCTCTCTCTCTCTCTCTCTCTCTCTCTCTCTCTCTCTCTCTCTCTCTCTCTCTCTCTTTCTCTCTTTCTCATCCCCTTTCTGCCTCTCCCTTTCACTATACCTCAACCTCATTCTGTTTTGTACTTTCCCTCCTTGTCTCTGAGACTTCGTGATTGTATTTTGCGCCTGGCTGTCAAGAACTCTTGAATTGTGAAAGGTTTGCTCCTTATGTTATGTGCCTATTACTTCCGTTCAGAATGCACAGACATGTAATCTGCCCAAATGTTCATGTTCAGACGTGTGTATTTGTGTGTGTGTGTGTGTGTGTGTGTGTGTGTGTGTGTGTGTGTGTGTGTGTATGTGTGTGTGTGTGTGTGTGTGTATGTATGTGTGTGTGTGTATGAGTGTGTGTGTGTGTGTGTGTATGTGTGTATGTGTGTATGTGTGTGTGTGTGACCTTGTGAGTTCGCAAAAGGCATTATCTTTTGGTCATTTTCATAGTTAGTTTGTTGACCATCAATGATTTATTTATAGAGGCACCAGCCATCCATGTCCAACTGTTCTGAAAGAAACTGTGCACTCTGACAAATACATTCATGGGAAATGGAATTGTTAACTGACTTTTGTCTTTTCTACATAGTTTTCAGTTTTCATTTTTAAAAAAGACCATTTGAAACTTGGTTTGTTGAACGAAAACCAATATCCCGTAACTTAATTAAGGAAAATGTATATTACTATATTATTGGTATTATTACTGTGACCAGTCGATCCTGACAGGGGCAGTATTCTATCTCAGTCCTGAATCATCATTATCATCATGGCCTTCCTCACCCTGGATTAGAATATAGGCCACGAACAAACACTTTCCATCTTTCTCTAGCCTGGACTAGTCGCTCCATATCTATCTTCCCACTTTTCTGTTCATCCATTTCCGTGGCTCTTCTCCGGGTTCCTTTTCTTCGCCTTGATGTTTTACCGTGTGGGTTCCAACCAAACACTTTCCTTGTTATTTAGCTGCTTGACTTCCGGAAAGTGTGTCCAATCAATCCACCAACGCCTTCTTCCCACCTCATCTCTGAATGGGGTCAGTCCTGAATTGAACTTTCATTTTCTGGAACACCAGAACATTCGGAAACGTCTTAGATTGTGAGACATTGTCAAAGGAAAAACTATATTCATTCTTTCAACTGGAGTCTAATTAGTTATCAAAGCATCTTGTTTGTTTTCCGTAGACTACAAACCATGCAGAGAAAGCTTAATTTTCATATTGCACAGAACATTCACCCTACCACAATACCAGAAAGACCACCCGTCATTGTAATGAAGCACCAAGTGAGCCCTTAAATGTTCCATTCATACAAAATATTGAGCTGTTGCCAACTTCTCATTGGATGGGATTCCCACTGTCAAATTTCACCATTCTAAATGGATCACTTCAGATGGAAAACACGATTATTATTGTCTGTGTCAAGTGCGTGTTTTACGACGACTGTCGGTGTGTCAAGTTTGTGGTTTAAAAAAATGTCTTGTGGATAATGAAGGTAGTATGTGTCCTCCTTCATGAGCGCTTTCTGTTTCTTTCTGTGACTTCTCCTTTTGTTTTAGTGGAGGTTTTACGGCGCTCGCAACTTTATAAGGTCATATGAGCGCCAAGTGTGACTTCTCCTACCACAGGAACAGCTGCAGATAACACTATAGCTTGATGTGTGATGGAAAGAATGTTACAAAATATTACATGTCTCTCTTTTTACAAGTATTTTATTTATGTGCAAGGTCACTCATTTTTTCTTTAATGTTAATCAAATCAGTCATATGTTACCTTTTTAGCGAAAGGACAGATTCGTTTCTGGGTACAATCTTCTCTGCTTGTGTTTTAATTTAGTTTGGCAAGTTTATGTTAGCTGAAAGAACATTCATAATCTTATTGGCAACCATTTGTTCGGACGTAGACTTCATTTTGAAAATTGTTAAAGATTCTTTAATTCATTTTAAAAATGAAAAAGGTGAACTGTTGCCGGAGCAGGTATTTATTTTGGAACTTGGCCAGGGTACTGATAGGTGAACGTTAATTGCTTCTGTTTTTATAGAAGTCTAACGCCTTTCAGGATACTATGTACACCAGACCAAAAGCGGATTTCATAATGGCCTTACCTCACGACTGAAACGAGAGAGGACACTATATCTTTTTAAGAAATCATTCTCCTCCATGAATGATTTCTCGAACACGTCCGTTGTTATGTATTAGAGGAAGTGTCTGCCTCAAAAAGCATGCTAAAGCAAGAGTGAGATGATCAAGGAATTTCGGAATATTTAACAGAATGCACAGTAGCCTAGCTATAATTACAACACTAAATCTCTTTTCTTCTATAGCTGAATTAGGAATAAAACCCCCAAGAAGTGCCATTTGTGGTCATAACAATTTTTCAAACCAGTATTGCGTTCACACAACTATGTGTAATGAATCGACCTAACCCAATCTACCGGCTCCTCATGACCCTTGTTGAGCCTCCACGGCATCGATCTCTGTCACTCTCAAGACTACAGGCCTTCCCATTTCTGATTCACTTCTGTGCCGTTCCCCTCCTTAGTCACGAATCTCTTCCACGTCGCCACATATACCGTGGTTTTCCCTTTCAGCAGTCTCTTCCCTTTCCCTTGAAATATTCTTGAGCCTCCACATCTTGTAGCCCTAAGGCCTTGATCTCTCGAAAGTTCCGAATATACACCACTCGATTAAGTTGAAATCGATTCGGGCCGATGAATCCCTTGGGGCTATGACCTGTGTCTATTCACAGAGTCGGATTCCATTATTTGAAACCCACACTTGCTGCATTTCCGTGCGAGCATTTATGTGAACGGGCAGAGAAACGCACTCATTTCCCTTCATTAAACACAAACACATACATACAATTACACACAAACACAAACGTGCGCTGACGGACACGCTCACACACACACACACACACACACACACACACACACACACACACACACACACGCGCGCGCGCGCGCGCGCGCGCGGACACACTCATACACACACGCACACATAAATATGCCTTCACATGTACATGTAACTTCATAATAATGACTTTTTTTGTCAGACTTTCTTTACGATTCCCTTTTAACTTGTCCTACGCATTCTGAAGCCAACGCACGCCCATCCTTTTCTTTTCCCTTTTCTTCTCTTCTCTCCTTTTCTCTTCTCTTCTCTTCACTTCTCTTCACTTCTCTTCTCTTCTCTTCACTTCTCTTCACTTCTCTTCACTTCTCTTCTCTTCTCTTCTCCTCTTTTTTACCCCCTCTCTCTCTCTCAGTCTCCCCCTCTTTCTCTCTCCGTTATATCTCTCCACCTTGCCGCTTCTCTGAAGTATCTTTTGCAATCTTTCGGGCTTCACCCCCCTCCTCTCCTCTCTTTCTCTCTCTCTCTCTCTCTCTCTCTCTCTCTCTCTCTCTCTCTCTCTCTCTCTCTCTCTCTCCCTCTCTCTCTCTCTCGCTGGCTATTATGATATCAATGTCTTGCTCTTATCTCCTCTTTTTCACTTTGTCTCATTCTTGTGGTATATCTTTGAGCATTGTCCAGCAAAAACGTGAGCTCATTTTTCTCTCACGTCTTCAAATCTTTGTTTAAGAGGGTGCAAATTCTCTTGCTATTACGTTTTCACGAAGACACTAAAATTTGTTTGAAGATGCCTAAATTCTTTGTG